AAAAAAAAAAAACAAAACAAAGTTTCTCTTGACTGTGGTTGTGATTACAAGGTTCCAGATATTTTTTTTTCAGAACTGGGGATTGAACTCAGGCCCTTGTACTTGCCAGGCGAGCACTTATTCCACTGAGCCATCTCCTCAGCCCCTCCAGACATTTTTCAAAACTCACTATATTGCATTCTTAAGATTGGTGCTTTTTGTGTACTTGGTACAGGGTCTCACTCCGCAGCTCAGACTCTAGTGATCCTCCTGTTTTCAGCCTCTCTAGCACTGGGATTACCAGGTCAGGTGTGCACGACCACGCCTCCTGTAAGTGGTTGGCTGAGTGTGCCCGGGTTAGGGTCCGGGGCGGCATACAGTACTGGGGATCGAACCCAGGTGCCTAAACTGGCTCCTACTCCACTGAGGTATATCCCTGGCCCTTGTTTATTTTTGTTTTTGTTTTTGTTTTTTTGGTATTTGGGTACAGGGTCTCACTGAGTAGATTGGACTCGTAGTGATCCTCCTGTTTATATCCTCCCAAGTGCTGGATTAGGAGCATGGCAGTCACAATGGCAGTCTCAGTGCGGCCCGGGGGAGGGGCCGGCACGGCAGGCCAGGAGATCGAACTCCCTGCCCCTGCTTATAAGCAGAAAGCGGATGCTTTAATCCGCTGAGCTATTTGGCCGGCCCTCCTTTTTTTTTTTTTTTTTTTTTTTTTTTTTTTTTTTTTTTTTTTTTGAGTGTGTGTGTGTGTGTGTGTGTGTGTGTGTGTGTGTATGTGTGTGTGTTGTGATTCACTGTCATTATTTGTCGTGTGTGTGTGTGTGTGTTGTGATTCACTGTCATTATTTGTCCTGTCAAGTTCTTTAAATTTACTATTGGTGGGCCGCGTTCAGCAGTCTAAGGCACCTGCTTAGGTAAGTGCAGGGATTTCGATCCCCTGCACCACAGGCCATGCCAGCCCCGCCCTTAGGGCAGGCTGAGCTGGCCCCCCAAAAATAAATTATTAGCGGTTAGGTCCTTTAACTTAACATTATGTACAGAATCATGTTAATAAAAATCAGTCAAAAAAAAATCAGTCAACTCTTGAAGGGGGCGGGGTCAAAGGCTTCACTGGGGCGGGATTCCCCGCTGGTATGGCCCTGAAGGGGGCGGGAACAAGAACCCAGCAAAGCTTCCGCTTTCATTTCTAAGGTTATTAAGTCAACCGCTTTTATTAAAGGAGAAGCGCAGAAGGGTGCTTTTTTTTTTTTCTGTCGGCAAACAA